AACCAAGATTTAAACCCTTATTTCTTAATCAAACCAAATCTGAAATTTTATTCAATAAACTAAACATAGTATAATTCATAAAATTGTAGTCTTTTAGAGTGATTAAAAATTATTAAACAATAATAATAACAATTCAAAAACAAAAACTTAATAAATATTAAAACTTGAAATAATTTAACATAAGAGAAAAAAAGAAGGAAGGAAAGAGGGAATACGAGAAAACGGCAGTTGGGCGTGTGATGGTGGTCGGAGGTGGTCTGGGCGGCGCGATGGTCGCCGGTGGTGATGGTGCGTCGACAACAGCAACAGTGTACAGTGCAACTATTTTATTTTATTTTTTTTGTTCGTGAGTTTGGAAGCAGTAGGAAGCAAAAGAAATTTTGGGATTTCTCCTTGTTTTGTACGTGAGATTGAGGTGTGAAAGAAGGGGAAAAATTTAGGTCGGTATAAATAATAAGAAGTGAGTTTTGGGGTTTCCTAATCCAAATATAATTAGGATGACTTGTTTAGGTCCAAATATATGCCAAAGTTTAGAAATAAAAAGTAAAGTTGGGCTTTGAGGTAATTTCGACTAGGCTCTTAATTTGTATGGATAGAATGATTATTGACAATAGATAGTAATGACTAAATAACTTAAAATTAATTTATTATTTTCAAAATATTTATATAATTATATAATTATCGTAAAATAATCATATAATTAATAATAAAATATAATTATAGTAATTACAAAATCATGGGGGATTACATTCGATGTAATCCCCCGTAATTTTGTGAAATTTAAAATTATATTTAAACATATTTTTGTGAATATTTGATTATAGTTATTTATTTACATAAATTATTTTACTATGATTTAAGCAAATAAATTTAATGTTTATAAAACTAGTAAAACTATTTCATTAAATTATTTCCCTACCCATATTGTAATCATGCATTAATATGCAAGCCCAACCCATAAATTACTAAACCCATTCTTTTACCTAAAACCCACTTACTTTAAGCCCAAACCTTAATCTTAGTTTTATTAGAACTAGAAAAACTAAAACCCTTATTTCCCCCTCTAATCTCACGTTAAAAAAAAAAAAAAAAAAAAAAAAAAAAAAAAAAAAACCAAGCTTTCCCCCTCCTACTGCATTCACGATCAAACAAAAAAAAAAGGGTTGAAGCTTGTTGCCACCGTAACCACCACCGCCCAGGACCCTTGCTGCCGCCTGACCACCGTCGCCCAACCACCAGGCTGCCGGTTTTCTTTCTTCCTCCTTCCTTCCTTGTTTCTCCTTCTTCCTTATTATTATTAAAGATTGTTATTTTAATTTATATTGTTAGTTTTAATTACTTTAATCATGTTTAAATTCTTTAAAAATATGAGAAATTATCAAGTTTATAAGTTATGATATGTAGTTTAAATTTTCAGATTTACATAATTTGTGAAATTAGGGTTTAAAACTTGATTTTCATGGTTTTAAGGCTTAAAAGCGTATTGCTAAAGTTATTCAATTTGAGCATGATTTTGTTGTGATTTTGCTATGACTATGATGATGTTTAATTCAACAGAAAGTTCTAAATTTTTTCGTAATTAATTTCTAAATTCCATTCGTAATTCTCCTTAATCACGTTTTAATCACGTTTTGACTGTAACTTGTCTGATTTTCGTAAAAAAAAATAGTGTTTTTCTTGTGTAAACGGCGTTTTAATAAAAACTCACTACCTTTGGTAGTGAGTACCACCCTCTAGTGGCCAAATTCAGCCTCTAAATATGGTTTTCGGGCAATTTTTGATTTTTAACGAAGTTTTAATATTTAAAATAAATTTTCAGATTTTTATAAAGCTTTAAACTTGTTGTAATTTTATGAATAAGTATGTATTTTAATGTTTTTATATATGAAATTTTAAGAATAATATATAAGCTTTTAATTCTAGCAAAAAGGAAGGTTTTAAAGTGTTGTTTAATTGAATTTTGAAGGTTTGATTGAGTTTTTATGAAACTAGTTAAATTCTAAATATATATTTTAAGTTTAGATTGTTGTATTCATACACTCTACTATTAAATTAAATTTTCAGATTTTAATCTTGGTTTTAAAAGTTTTAAATCATGGTTTTATGATGGATTTTTTTAGGTTTTTAACATACTAACCTACCATATAATGATTATTTCAAGTAGAGATGTTTATAAGGTTGTTTTATATTCTTAAACTAAATTTCCATATTATAATCATTACTTTAAAGTTGCTGGAATTTTATGTTATAAGCTATATTTTTATGATTTTAGCATATAAACTCATAGTTGAAGTACTAAATTATTAACTGTGGCTATTGGGAATAATTTAAGAGCATTATTTCAATGATTTAAAGGATTTTAAAGTAGTTTGGTATTGCTGTAAAATATATTGCTTGGGTATTAATTGAGCTATGGTTGTCTTGTTTAGGAGAGGACTTCGTAGAAGGTGACTTCTAGTCTTAAGGTGGCCAACCAATTTGTGTACTCAAAGTACGTACAAGAATACGAGGAACCTTGATTTAGGAGCATGCTTAGGGACTTGGAAAAACCTAGAATCATGCTAGGGAACTTGTGGATTGGTTGACATTGTTTGGTAATGAGTTGATTGATGATAAATATGATGATTGCTTTAATTCATGTATGAGAAATTTGCATTGATTTTTCCTTATGAGCATTATTTATGCAATACTTTGCAAGGAGAGCTTAGAAGTAAAGCTACAAGTATACATATGGAATGAATCATTTTAATTACTTATTCATCTGTATTGAAATGGAATGAGTAAAGGAAGATTTAAAGTCTTATAAGACAAGATTGTGGATATGAGGTGCCTTATACACTTAAGGTGTTTATACACCGAGGTAGTTAAAGGATTCAATAATAAATGTTGTTTGTCACTAACAAATTAAGAATTGAATTGGAAACTTGAATGATTTGAATGATTGATGTATGATTGGTTATGTTGTTTGCATATGAGTCATCACCAAATTTAAACTGGTAAATCACGTAAAGTGCAAGAAGGATGAGCAATAAAACTCTGGATTTGTGCACATCTAGAGTAATGACAAACAGGGGTTGGAGTTCACGGGGTATTAGTCGTGCACTTTTCAGAGGCCTTCTGATCTACGAGTCTCTTGTTTTAAATTCTATTAAAATTATAATGAGTTAGATGAGATCTCATACTAGCTATGGCCACGGAGTCGCGCCCGTCTGCCATTGGATGTTTATTAATGTCTTCCGAAAGGAGGCATAGGGTTTTCTTATTTAATGTTCCGGAATGGAGCACAGGGGGACAACCCGGTCTATTGCTTAATCCAATCAATTAATGAAGTGGTCAATTCTACTTAGATAAAAACTTTGTAATAAGTAACAATTGAATCATGTGTTCGAGTCAATGATTATATTGAGTGTATGGAATGCTTGTTAGTATCATGCTAAGGCTCCTTACTGTGTTTCGTAGCTTGTATGTACTCAGCGTTGCTGATGACGTGCTTTTGTGTGTTTCCCTTGGTCATGGCCTTCGCCTTCAATGACCCTGTAATGATCCAATTCTTACACTTGTAATATTGGGGAGCAGACTAATCAAAGGTTTCTGCATAAACTGAACTTGCATTAGGGTGATGGGATTTGAGTGGAGCGTTGGTTAATCATTTAGCTTATTTCATTTCATAAATTGATAATGTTATTTTGACTCTAACTCTACTCGCTTCCTATTTTACTGGGTTTTGAATAAGGGTCGTTATGGTTCCAACTTGTAAGTCTAAATTAGGTTTTGATTATTAGTTTTGAAACTTACATTTTCTTTTAAAACTAAATTAGTTTTCCGCTGCTGATATTTGAAACTAGCCTTAACGTTTGAACACGTGGCGGTAGCACGCCATTAATTCTCTCACAGGTTATTAAAAGTATTTACAGGTTACTACAGGTTATTACAGGTTAATACAGGTTTTAAAGAGAGAATTATTGGGGTGTTACATTCGATGCGTAATCAAGCTTAATAAGAAATCTAGTTATTTATTGGTTGGTTATGTTGTATGTTGTATGCTTGTAAACAGGTGCAACAAGGTAAGTTGAATGATGATAGGATAAAAGTATGTTAGTGTGTACTGTTTACGCTTATGTCATGTACTCAGCATTGTTGATTGTGTGTTTGTATGTTTGTTTGGCCTTGTCTTTATCTTGGCCCTACGACGACCCATTTCTAATGGCGAGTAGTTTAGACAAAGTAAAGAGAAGCTTTTCAGTTGATGAAGCAGGTTCATGATGGGCATGAGTGAAGAGCGATTCCTGTTTAGTTTCCATAATAATATGATGTGTGTTATTCGCTTTGATTATTGTATATTCGCTTGTGAGACTAAAACAAAGGTCTTAATGTTTATTTCGGTTTTGATAAGGGCCTGGTTCCAAGTTTTAGGTTGTTTTAGTTTGACTTTGGTTTGACTTTTAAGTTGACTTGTTTTGAATTGTTTTAAAGAGTGTCTTCCGCTGTGCGTCTTTGATAATTGCCTTAGCCGTTTTTACGATGGCGGTAATGTTTTAGAATTTCCTATTTCTTATTTTAAAAAGAGCAAAATAGGTATTTTAAAGGAAAGGAATTTCTAGGGTGTGTTGTTAGTAACATGAGAGGTGAATGGAATGGTTTGCAAGCATTATTTCTTTTTTATTGTCCATGTGCTTGTTATGTCCATTGTTTTTCATATCGCTTACTGAACGCGGGGAAATTAGGTTGTTGACTAACCTCCTAACCGTCAAATAAATTTATAAATCCTAAAACTAACCCCTAAACAAGTCTAGTGGTAAGTTCGGAGTCGAACCACAAGGAACGGTAATACTAGATTATTTTTTATCTCACTACTACAAAAATAGGCAAAGAGATCTATTAAAAGAGACCTGTTACAAGACTTAACAGGTCTCTTTAGTCAAAAAGACCTGTTGTTACTGATAACAAGTCTCTAATGAGCTTTTTGTTAGGGGGGAAAAAACAAAGAGGCCTATTGTTAGTGTTAAGAGGTCTCTTTGTTTTTATTATTATTTGTTTAATCTTAAAATTATTTATGATTTCTTATATACTAGTATCACGTGTACACTAGTATCAAATACTAAGAAGCATTCTAGAAATATTGAGTAAAATTTTGTTAAAAAAAATAAAATAAAAATTAAAGACTACTAACTTCTTTTTTTTTTTTTGAGGAAATGTGTACTACTAACTTAGACTAACACTTCCTAATAAAAAAATAAAAATTAAAGTAAGGAGTTAAAAGGAGTTTCTAGTAGCAGTTCAGTAGTAGTTTGAATAGTTTCGTCTTCCTCCTCCAATAATCCAAAACCCTTGAAATTCCATGGTTTCCCTCCCAAGTTTTTCACCACCTAATTAGAGGCGATCATTTTTAAGATTGTGTCCACCATCATCTAAGGCCGCCACCGTCGTCTAGTTTACAAGGCTGCCACCATCTGAAGCGTACTCGGGTCACGACTATCAACCACTTCGTTTCAGGCAATTGTACAAAGGTAAGCCGTTTGCTTTCCGGGCCACGTCCCCCAACCACAAATTCGTTCTTCTTTCATTGTTCACTATTAATTATTGATAAAGATTGTTCAATTTCCAGCCATAATACAAGCAATTGCACTACTTTACATTTGATCGATTTCCCGCCACAACCAGAAAATTCTTATTCTTTTTAAGGTATTTTTCATTCCTGCCCCTTACCCAAAAAAATAATTGATACTAAGGTTAAAATTGATTTCTTAATTAAACCTATACTACTCGCTAGTTTCAATTTTTATATATTGTATATATATACTAATTTTGTCTTGCTTTTAAAGTCTACTGTACTGTAAATGGATTTAATATTTCTTTTTATTATTCTCTAATTTAATACAATGTTCTGAATTAATATGATATTTAAATTCAGATGATTCATGTTTAGTTTATAACCTTAAAAATTATGCTTGCATATATGGTGGCTGCTTGGGTTATGGTTTCAAATTTGATTTTCCCGTGAAAAGTATGGTTTTGTCATTGTTCGGTTGATAAAAATATTTTGTCTAATCTAGTAAAATATTTGTTGTATTCTCTAATTTAATATCTTGTCACCCCCTTCGCTATAATCAAGACTTACATGTACATATATGTGAAGGCATTATCACTTTCGAAAATATTATGATTATTATAAAGTCTTGAATTGCTATTGGTGCATATAGAATGGATAGAAGTTGGATCCAACAAAAAAACTGGGTGACCCAGAATATCAAGCAGGTGTTACAGAGTTCATTAATTTTGCAGCTACTAATAGTGGTGGCCGTCCCAAGCTACCATGTCCTTGTTATATGTGCCACAATTTGCTACGTAAGAGGTCAGACGAAATACTTAATCACTTGAGTAAGTGGGCATTTGATAGAACATATACCAATTGGATTTGGCATGGATAATGTAGGGAAAAACCTCTTGCTAGTAATGTAGAGGGTAGTGTGTGTGAAGGTGATAGCACAAATGAGGCAGATAATTTAGAAGATTTGTTGCATTCAGTGAAGGATAACTTTGATGATAATCCTACCATGTTTGAGAGCATTTTAAATGACTCTGAAAAGCCTTTGTATGACGGTTGCACTAAGTATACTAGATTGTCTGCTATAATCAAGTTATACAACTTGAAGGCAGGTCATGGTTGGACTGATACAGGCTTCAGCATGCTACTAGATGACGGAATGCTTAGACACCCCGCCGATTCTCCGCAGTGGAGGTTTATTGATGAAAAATACCCGTACTTTGCAAAAGAGAAGCGTAATCTAAGGCTTGCATTGTCTACAGATGGGTTCAATCCATTTGGGAACTTGAGTAGCACATATAGGGGACATGGCCCGTCATATTGGCTACTTATAACTTACCTCCTTCGTTGTGCATGAAACCACGATATATTTTGTAAGCATTGCTAATTTCTAGGCCTAAACAACTTGGAAATGACATTGATGTGTATTTGGAACCTCTCATTGATGATTTGAATATTCTTTGGGAGGATGGTATATAGGTGTTTGACGCACATCGTAACGAGAACTTTATCATGAAAGCAATGTTGTTTAACACCATCCAAGATTTTCCTGCTTACGGTAATCTTTCTGGGTATACCGCGAAAGAGAAAGAACCTTGTCCCATAGGCATGGAGGATTGCGGGGGAGAATGGTTGAGCGCATCACGCAAGCATGTGTTCCCTATACATCAGCAATATCTTCCGTCGAGTCATCCATTTCGTAAGAGGAAAAAGGCCTTCAATGGGAAACAAGATTTTAAAGGTCGCCCAACAGTTCTGTCAAGTGAAGAGGTCTTTGAAAAGGTTAAAGACATTCAAATTACCTATGGGAAAAAGCATAGGTCTGCTCTTCCTACGCAAGGCTTTAAGAAGTGTTCATATTTATGGCGCCTACCTTATTGGAGATTCCTTTTTGTGAGACATTCGCTTGACGTGATGCATATTGAAAAGAATGTGTGATAGTTTGATTGGTACTTTATTGAATATTCGTGGGAAGACTAAAGATGGCACGAAAGCTAGAGATGACTTACAAACCATGGGGATTAGAAGTGAACTCCATGCTGTTGTTAATGACAAAGGTCGAGCATACTTGCCTCCAGCAGCTTATACATTGTCAAGAAAAGAGAAAATTGAGTTTTGTGAGAGCTTGGCTGGAGTAAAAGTGCCAGAGGGTTATTCTTCAAATATTCGCAACCTTGTAAAAATATGGAAAACTTGAAACTTGTGGGCCTTAAATCTCATGATTGACATGTTCTAATGCAACATCTATTACCAGTGGCTATTCGTTCAATTTTGCCTAAAAATGTTCGTTTTGCCATAACCAGACTTTGTTTATTTTTTAATGCAATTTATAGCAAGGTCTTTGATCCTAAAGAGTTGACTGCATTGGAAGATAGAATTGTTGTAACTTTGTGCCAATTAGAAATGTACTTTCCACCATCGCTTTTTGATGTCATGATTCATTTACCAGTTCACTTGGTTAGAGAGGTGAGATTTTGTGGTCCTGTGTACTTGAGAAATCAGTGGCCTTTTGAAAGGCAAATGAAAACATATGGTGGTTATGTCAAGAACGCTTTTCACCCTGAAGATTGTATCGCTGAACGAATTTTTTATGAAGAAGTTCTTGCATATACTAGTGAATTTATATCAAATTCTATGAAGATAGGGCTTCTCGTTTCTCGACATATGGGAAGATTGGGTGGTCAGGGGATCCTAGTCCGTAAACAACTTGACATGTCTTATGACGATTGGCACAAGGCCCATTCGTACATTCTTCACAATGAGGATGAAGTAATGCCATATATTCAAAAACACATGAGAGACTTGAGGAAATACAATAGAAGAGCAAATGAGAAATCAATAGCTGATGAACACAATAGATCGTTCATTAGGTGGTTCAAAGATCAAGTTTTGAGGGAGCTTCAGGATTCTCCGAGTTCTATTTCTGATCGACTTAAGAGTTTAGCATATGGACCTAATTTCAACGCTACTTACTATTCAGGTTATGTTATCAATGGTTTCACATTTTACACAAGGTTGCAAGATAGTGGGGTTACTGTAGAGGCTGAAGCTATTCATTTTGCTAGTGCAAAAGACAAGCATCCCGTTTCTAGCACAATGCGATACTATGGATTTATTGAAGAGATTTGTGAGTTGCATTAATCCAACTTTTCAATACCAGTTTTCAAATGTCAATGGGTTGATAATAACAACGAAGTTGATCATAGTAGCCTTGGAATGACTTTTGTTAACCTTAATAAGATTGGTCACAAGGAAGATCCTTTCATTTTATCTAGTCAAGCTAAACAAGTGTTTTATATGACCGATCCATCAAATAAGAGAACGTCAGTTGTTATAACACCGAGACCACGACATGACATAGATGATTGGGGCGATGATAGTGTTTTGGAAGGTAGTTCTTTGCTGGGAAAGGGACTAGTTGATGATGATGTTGCTGATGATTCTTTGATCTACGCAAGAGATGACCACAATGAAGGTTTGTGGGAAGATGATGATAACAATAATAAAGTGAAGCGAAAGCGAAAGAGAAAGCGTTGTGTAGTCGTAAAAACTCTTAAGGGGTTCAAGGTGAGTTTTGCTTTTATATATCTACTTTTATTACAAAAGAGAATGTTTCCTCTTAAATACTAATAACTTTGAATTTAGTAGGGTTATGCATGCTTCTTCAGATCCTATACTCTCACGTACCATGCTAGCTATCTTTTACTCAAGTATTTTAATAATGTGTCGTGTTCTTTTATATAACTAACAAAGTGAATTTAACTTGTCAATTTAATGTAGGTACATGGCCAGAAAGAATAAAAAAGTACAACCGAATGATGATTCTGAAGAGTCAAGTTGTGAGGAGAGAGGTCGTACTGTACTTAAAAAGGTGGGGAAGACTATCCACGTTGGCACCCAAATCCCATTACAATGGCATCCAAGTAAAAGAATTCCCACTGGTGAACACAAGACTCATTTTTCCACCTACATTGGTGTAATGGCACGTGAAAGAATAAGCATTGCCTACAAAGATTGGCATGAAGTTCCAATAGGAGTGTTAGATGAAGTTTATGGATTTATCTCGATAAGATATACTAATCATGTATTAGAATGGCAAGATCATTTTATATTTAAGTTTATTTTTTGTGTACTAACTTATAAATTTGTTTTATTTGAACATAGAAGGGGTTTTACGTTCCTGAGAATCGCAAAGGTTATGTACTAACACGAGCATCGATTCAATGGAAAGCTTTTAAGACTAGATTAAGAACCAAGTGGCTATATGAAAGAGATAAAACACTTCGTCAAAAGCCACCACACAAGTATCCTTTTATATGTGAATCGGTGTAATCCCCCGTATTTTTAAATATTTTATAAATGAAATTTTATTTTATTTATAATATTAATTTGTATTTTTCCATAATTTAAATTTCAAATTATTAATTTGGGTCAAAAATTATTTTAGGCTAAATTATTTTATGTACCTATATCCTACAATCCATTACTATAAAAACAAAGCCTAACCCATTTGTTTATTTAATTGGCTCATTATTTTCATGAGGCCCAATTCTACCCTACAATTCTCTCCAATAAATACCCCATGAAACCCCAAATTTTCCCCCACACAAAAAGGTTAGTCTTATTTTCTTCCTCTCTTTTGTTTTCTCTTCTTTTGTTAATTCAACCCAAGTTTAAATCTTTATCAATTTTTGTTATTTAATTTTTATTATTATAGTTTGATTATGTATATGAATTATAAAAGATTATAAATTTATAAGTTTTATTATGTTTAAATTGTTCATCAAAATTTCAGATTTATTTAGTTAAGAAATTAGGGTTTAAAACTTGATTTTCATGGTTTTAGGGCTTAAAAACGTGTTGCTAAAGTTATTCAATCTAAGAATGATTATATTGTGATTCTACTATGATTATGATGATGTTTAATTCAAAAGCAAGTTTTCAATTTTTCGTAGTTAATTTATGATTTCCGTTCTTAATCACGTTTTGACTCTGACTCGTCTGATTTTTGCAAAAAAGTAATGTTTTTCGTGTGTAAACGACGTTTTAATCAAAACTCACTACTTTTGGTAGTGAGCACTGCCCTCTCGTGGCCAAATTCAGCATCTAAATATGGTTTTTGGGCACGTTTTGATTTTTAACGAAGGTTTAATGTTTAAAATAAATTTTCAGATTTTTTATAAAGCTTTAAACTTGCTGTAATTTTATGAATAAGTATGTATTTTAATGTTTTTATGTAGAAAATTTTAAGAATAATATATAAGCTTTTAATTCTAGCAAAAAGGAAGGTTTTAAAGTGTTGTTTAATTGAATTTTGAAGGTTTAATTGAGTTTTTATGAAACTAATTGAATTCTAATTATATATTTTAAGTTTAGATTGTTGTATTCATACATTCTACTATTAAATTAAATTTTCAGATTTTTAATCTTGGTTTTAAAGGTTTTAAATCATGGTTTTATGATGGATTTTTAGGTTTTTAACATACTAACCTACTATATAATGATTATTTCAAGTAGAGATGTTTATGAGGTTGTTTTATATTCTTAAACTAAATTTCTAGATTATAATCCTTACTTTAAAGTTGCTGGAATTTTATGTTATTAGCTATATTTTCATGATTTTAACATATAGACTTATAGTTGAACTATTGAATTATTAACTTTGACTATTGTGAGTAATTTAAAAGCATTATTTCAATGGTTTAAGGGGTTTTAAAGTAAGTTAATATTGATGTAAATTATATTGCTTGGGTATTGATTGAACCATTGTTGTTTGGTTTAGGAGAGGACTTTGTAGAAGGCGATTTTTCGTTCCTAAAGTGGCGATTTTTACTCAAGGTACGTACAAGGATACGAAAACCTTGACTTTAGAAGCATGTTTTTAAGGACTTGGAAAACCTTAGAATCATGCTAGGAAACTTGTAGATTGGTTGGAATTGTATGGTAGTAAGTTTGATTGGTGAATAATGTGATGATTGGTTTTGTTTCATGTATGAGAAATGCGTATTAATTTACCTTGTAAGTATTATTTATGCATTAACATGCAAGATGAGCTTAGAGGCAAAGGTACATGAATATGTGGAATGAATTATTGTATTACTCGTTCATGATTAATGAAATGGAATGAGTAAAGGGAGATTTAAAGTCTTATAAGACGAGGTTGAGGATTTGAGGTGCCTTATGCACTTAAGGTGTTTATACACCGAGGTAGTTAAAGGATTCAATACTAAATATTGTTTGTCACTAATAAATCAAGAATTGAATTGGAAATTTGAATTGTTTGAATGATTGATGTATGATTGGTTGTATTGTTTTGCATTTGAGTCATCACCAAGTTTAAACTTGTAAATCACGTAAAGTGTAAGATGGATGAGCAATAAAACTCTGGATTTGTGCACATCTAGAGTAATGACAAACAGGGTTGGGGTACACGGGGTATTAGCCGTGTACTTTTCAGAGGCCGTCTGATCTACGAGTCTCTTGTTTTCAAATACTTTTAAAATAATAATGAGTTAGATGAGATCTCATACTAGCTATGGCCATGGAGTCGCGCCCGTCTGCCATTGGATGTTTATTAATGTTTTCAAAAGGAGGCATAGGGTTTTCTTTTATTAATGTTCCGAAATGGAGCATAGGGGGACAACCTGGTCTATTGTCTTAATCCAATAAATGAATGAAATGGATTATTTATTATTAATTAGTGAAGTCTTAGTAATGTTAACCATTGAGTCATGTGTTCGAGTCAATGATTATATTGTGTGTGTCCAGATTGATTTTTAGTAACAAGCAAGGGCTCTTTGCTATATTTCGTAGTTTGTATGTACTCAGCGTTGCTGATTGCGTGCTTTTGTGTGTCTTTTCTTGGTCATGGCCTTCGCCGTTCAATGACCCTGTAATGATCCAATTTTTACACTTGTAATATTGGGGAGCAGACTAATCACAGGTCTTACCTAATCAGAGCTTGCATCAAGGTGATGGGATTTTGAGTGGAATGTTGGTTAATCTCACAGTTTATTACATTTCATAAGTTTGGATTTAATTAAACTTTGGTTTGATTTATTTACTACTTTTATTGGGTTTTGAATAAGAGCCTTAATGGTTCCAACTTGTAAGACTAAATTTGGTTTTGATTTTTGGTTTTGAAACTTATTGATAACTGAGTTAATTTTTCCATTGCTAAATTTTGAACTAGCCTTAACGTTTGAACATGTGGCGGTAGCACGTCAGTAATTCTCTTGCAAATTGTTAATGGTATTTACAGGTTTTTAAAGAGAGAATTATTGGGGTGTTACAATCGGATTGGGATACCTTTGTTCAAATCTGCACTTCTGATGAATTTAAGGTATGCTTTGATTTATTGCATCATCTAAAGAATAATGTGAACACATATGTACATGTAAACAGTTTTATCAATTGACTTTGAACTTTAAAAATATGTAGGAATTAAGCGAAAAGAATCGTGAAAAGGCAAAGAAGAAGTCCTCAAGTTATCATGGCGGTAGACTTGGGTACCAATATTTTGAAGAGGAGATTGTAAGTGTTAATTACATGATGTTTTTGTAATATTAACTAAATATTTAAAATTGGTTTTCTGTACTATTAGGTAAAAGAACTTGAAAAGCAAGGAGTCCATGTGTCACAAGTTCCACGGCATCTAACTTGGATTAAAGCTCATTCTCATGTCAAAGATGGAGTTATAACATTTGTCAATCTTGCTGATAAAGAAATCCATGATGCAATAGTAAGATAGTATATTTAATCTTTTTAAATGTTTTACTTTTCAAGCATTTAAAATTTTTCTTTTCATAATAATATTCTTTGCAAATACTTTTTTTAAACTTGATCTTTTGTATGTTTTTCAGATAGCATTAGAGAGTCAAGTTCAAAGAGGTGAAATCATTGCTAAGGGTCGGGATGATATCTTAGCAAAAGCAATGCATAAGAGTGAGCATGGTGGTTCAGTGAGAGTTGTTGGTTCAGGCATTACAGTGAAGGATTATTTTGGTTATAACAAACTTGCTCCACCCAGCCAATTGCATGCTAAAATAGGCATGATGAAATCGAAACTTGTCTCCATGGATAACAGACAAATTTTATGATGTCCTTCTTGATTTCATGCTGCAGCCAAGAGCAAATAAAATCTTTCATGGCTGTTGGAGGTCAACAAGTTCGTTTAGGTGGATTTTTTGGTGGCGACAATACTGCTAGTAGTTTGGATGCTTGGTTTGGTGGCCTGACAGGTGGGTCAGGTGGGTTACGTGGGTTTGGTGGCCAGACAGGTGGGTTAGGTGGGTTTGTGGCTTGACAGGTAGCTTAGCTGGTGGGTTTGTTAGCTTGGGTGGTAGGTCTAGTGGCCTGGGTGTTAGCCTAATAGGTGGGTATGGTGGCCTAATAGGTGGGTTTGGTGGCCAAGGTAGTGGGTCTCTTGGCCTGGCTAGTAGGTCTGGTGGCCTGGAGGGTGGGTCTAGTGGTCTGGCAGGTGGGTCACGTGCTCCGCAATTGAATGATACTTTTGGTCAGGACTTCAAGGTATCCCTCTAACTCAACTGTTAACAGGCAAAATTTTCAAGCAAGGGAGAAAAGGGCATGGGTTTACCCCTGATTCATTAGGGGGGGGCAGATATTTATGGTACACAAGGTAATGGGAAAGAAGATAATTGCGCAAAAACGTAATCTCATACTGAAAACCTAGAGACTGAGGCATATCATTTTCCCTGGCCTCAAACAGATCGTAACAATCAACTTAAGCCTACCACTAACCTTGCAAATCAGAGTTGTGATTTGAAAGAATTTCCCAAGGTATGCCTTTTCATTCTAATTAAGTCCTCATGACTGAATTGTTTAAACCAATACAAAGGAAATGAACTCAATATATAAAAAATGGTGATTAGTTGCAAAAATTTAAACGTTATACTCTTGTAAGTTTTGCCTTTTGATGAAAATGGGTGTATTTATGTTCAGGGTAGAGTGATTGTTGTTTAGCAATCGAAGGAAACAACAAAGAGTTGCAAATTGTTGCTAACGGACAGGTAGAGAAAACAACAAATGTTAGAGCTACTCATTCTAGATTAATGCCACCAGGTCATGCTCGAGTCACAATTACAGAATATATTGTGCCAACTGCTCTCTTGCCATGTCCTAATGATGAAGTAGTCTATGTTTGTCATGCAAAGAAAAGCTACACACCTTGGCCGATTACCTTGATTTTTCCGAGAAAGGTATGAAATTTAATAACTGGTATATGTTTGCAGTGTAATATTATTCAGCATGTGTTATCAATGGGGCACTTTGTTATGTATGCAAATTTTTTAAAAAATTTCAGCTTAATCCATCCAAATATCTAGGAAATGTCAGAACATATATAGTACTTAAAATTTTATTTTCTAATTCATTCATCAAAAGAAAGCAATGACTTAGGCACTAACCATCATGCCACGAATATTCTAGACTTTTATTTACTTTATTTTATGGTGAAAATGAAAAGATGTGCTTTTAGCACATGTTTCGTGTATTGAATATGATGATGCTATTTGTATGCAGACATGCATCATTTTTATATTGACTTGCATAATACAAGTAATCACTACTGCATTTTCCTTATATATACTATATTCATGTTATAATGTTTCTTATTCATCACGCTAAAGACCATTACCCACTCAGAAAAAATGTTAACTGTAACAACACCATCTCCACATTCAGCGTCATCTCAAGTATCCACAACTCCTAAGTACGTTATCACCGAAAAGGTTCACGAGATGGTGACTTCCACGTGGTTATGTATGTTAAATACTCATGCTATGGTATTGAAAAAAAGGGGTGTGACACTCTCTATACCAATACCAAAATGCATGTTTCTTAATGAAGATGTGGGTGTGATGCTTGACTACGAGGACTTGTTGGATTGGTGATTTAAAAGAGAGGTTGGAGAATCCCAAATGAACATTTTCATAAAGTGAGTGTCTTTTTTACCAATTACCCCTTTAGTCTTGAATTTATTTGTGTATTAACTTCAACATATAAAACTTTTTATGAGGCAAGGTACTTGAAAGGTCATTGTCAGAATGAAGGTGTCTCGGGTATGTACGGATTCTGTGACACAAATGTTTTATCTCCAATGACACCAACTACAGATGAGGAGGTTCGATTCGACTATCTAGCTCGTGTTTTTGGATGCAACGAGGGAAAGAATGTCAATCAACTCTTCTTTGCTCCTTATAATGACAAGTAAGTGTACGTAGTATGCATATTCTAAACAATTACTATTCAATATTCACCATTGATTTTGCTAATATAATCACAATCATTATGTGTAGTATGCATTGGAGGTTAGCTATTATTAGTACCTGGAATGGACTAGTATGTTGGTTAGATCTGGCTGGGGAAGGAAACAAGATCAATGAGTTTGCTAAAAAGATCATAAATGAGTACGTGTTAGGTAATTATCCAACATATCTGTTTTTGTATTATATATGATTTATTATTAATTATTCAATTCATTATTTATGTCAAACAATGTCACAATTCTATAGGGGATTAAAAAAAATTCAGCATGGTCCATCGAAAGGACATCAAGAAGATAAAAAAGGATCCATATATTGAGTGGAAGCAGCCTAAGGTATGTCATTTTAGTTTATACTCTTGATATTAAAAGAATAATGTGTTATTTAAATGCTTGTGTTATAATGCCAAATTTTCATGCATTTAAAAATTTGAATGTCTTTTTTAACAGTGTCCTCGACAACCTCAATACTCCAGGTTTGTGGATACTATGTTTGTCGCTATATGCTTGAGATTATACAGAAAAGGGTATTGTGGGTTTCTGATAAGGTATGTTTAATCTGATTTATGCATTGTTTTCAATCTCAACCTTGCAGTAGTCGATCCTAGTTACTAAAATCAATATCATTTATGCATAATAACTTTTATAATAAGGTTCTAGATATTTTTACACTTAATTTGATAAAGTGAAGGTTGTTCAGGGCTTATTTAAACAACACGGGTGCAAATTACCCTCAAATGGCTCATTTTAATCATGACATTGCATATTTCAACCTGTATCATTATATTCATTTGCTTTTTTTTAATATAGTTATAATATAGCATTATCTTCCATTATTATTATGAATGAGTTATGACTATATACGGGGATTTATTGTTTATCTTGCAGTTTTTTAAAGAGGACCCCTGTACATATTCAACTGAAAATATTGACGAAATTAGAGACTTGTGGGCTAAGTATGTTCTAGAGCTTGAACAAGATGATGTTAATGAAGGAAATGAAGATGGTATGGACATTGCGTGAGTTTAGTTTGTCCATTACTTTTGGGAAAAGTATTGCGATTTTTAGAATTTTTTGTATAGTACTTTTGGAGATTATCTTAGATGGCATGGAAATTAAATTAGTGGTTTATATTTTTGGGGAATACTGGATTTTATTTTACAGATGTTGATGTATAGTATTTTTGGAGGTTATACTATAACTAATGGATAATTGTAAAAGTGTTTGTCAACTTTTGTTTATTATTGTATGCTCCATGAATATTATAAAATTATGGAGTAATGTATATGATGTGCATATATATAGAAGGTGAAAAATATAGGTACAAATATCCTACAGGTGCCATATAAGAACAAAGACAGCTCATATACCGTACATGAACAAATACAAATATAATTGGATTTCGGGAAAAAAAATTTTAAAAAAAAAAATAACAAAGAGACCTGTTATCGTTATTAACAGGTCTCTTAAATAACAACTATGAGACTTGTTGGCCATGGTAACAGGTCTCTTTACTTTCTGAAATATATAAATAATCACGCGTAAAGAGACCTGTTGTCTCACTTCTTAGGTCTCTTATTAATACCAAAGAGACCTGTTCTATTGACCAGGTCTCTTAACCAAAGAGACTTGTGAGCTAGAGACCTCCTAAGAAGAGGTCTCTTATGCCTATTTTAACAGGTCTCTAAGGCATATTTGTAGTAGTAATGCTTAAGCTACGCCGAAGTCGGTTTATGGATACAGGACACTACCACTACACTAAAACACATATAAAGATCAAGGTATGATAAAGTCTACTAGGGGAAAAGATCCACTTTGAACAATTAATAAACTAAAGAGAATCCATTTGATAATCAATCATGCAAAGAAAGAATTAAAATGAGAATTAACTACACTCAAAAGTAATCTCTCAAATTCCTAGCCTAGATCCATCATTGACTAGGTGCATAGAAGAAATTACCCAAAATGCAATCAGATATATCAATTCTAATTCACAATCCCTTGTCAAACTAGAACCAATATGCAATTAAGTTTGCTATCATGGGAGATCAATCCAATCTAAAACAAACAACATGCCATCATCAATTCAATCAATTTAATCACACAATTATCATCAAATTATCTCAAATAACTCAATTAATCATTACAAAGCTTCACTCAACACCTAATAGAAGGGAAACTACTCAAACATGATGAAAGCAATTAAATAAAGCATAAAGAGAAGAGAGAGTAAAAAATGTTCATCGATATAAAATGGAGATCTTCAAATCATCAAATTCCTCCTTTGATTACCCAAAATCCATGAAAACCATTGTGTTTCTCACTTTATCTCTCCAAAATTTGAGAGTTTCTCTCTCTAAAAACCTAAAACTAACCTAAAAAAACTACTGAAAAAATGAATTCTTCCTATAAAATGAGCAAAAAAATCTATTTATACCCCTTACTAAATTGCCTAGGAAGCTCCGCAAAAAGTCGAGCAGCACGTATAGGAGCGACAGCTCCAAAGTCAGTGCACGGGCGCTCCTAGCTGTAGCAGTGAGAAGTAGAATCATTCCAGAAAGTTTGGAGCGGGCTCTCCTCTTAGACTACGCGCCCGCTCCTATCGTGTTGGACAAAACTGCTCAGTTTCAAACGAACATAACTCCCTCGTTTTACATCGGAATTGAGCATATGACCTGTCATTGGAAAGCACTTAAGATAATATTTCATCTACAATTAGAATCACTCATAAATGTTTTGTAGATCAAAAGATATAGGCGTTTGAAGTTTGATCTTTGCAAATCAAGTGCACATTTCTTCATTATTTGTTCAATTATATGTTCAATATTTCTTCAATATTGAGCAATGAACTTATCTAAGTGTTCCTAAACATAAGAATAAACAAATAAAGTTTAATCTAATGCAAGAAGCAACCAAAATATGCAAGAAAAGCCAAAATTGAGCAATAACGACATTTCACACGCAAACAAGACAAATGTAATAAAACGTTATTAAAACCAATTAAAAAGATATCAAAACTATGAAAAACTAACTAGAAAATCCTTAAAAAATTAGTACATAAATGACACTTATCACTTACAATTAGCATTAGTTGCCGCATCTAATGTTGTTAGAATAATACATCAGTTTTTCAAATTTGACTTTCATTATCAGTATCATTGTTTCATCTCGTAAACGTGTTGACGAATAGCAATCCGTCAAATCTTATGAAATTAAAAGGTTATTATTTATTAATGAAAAAGCCAGTGGTAGAGGAGCTAATCAGATGAGTAATTTAAAAGAGTTGGAGATACACGTTTTATTGATGAAATAGCCAGTGGTAGAGGAGCTAATCAGATGAGTAATTTAAATAGAGTTGGAGATACACGTTGAGGTTTCACATCTTTACTCTATTCGCAGCTTGATGAAAATTTGTGATGCAACAATGTTAGTACTTGAATAAATCTGGAATGATAATTATTGTACTTCTTCTCAATGTGGGGATGCTGATGATGCTTTAGATCTAATGATTTCCTTTGATTTTGTGTTCATTGCCTGTTTGATGGAAGAAATTTTTGAATTTTCTAGTGTTCTAGGTAAGCTTTACAAAAAAAGTCTCAAGATATTGTGAATGTTGTGAAATTAGTCTCTACAAATCATGCACTTATTCAATATATGACAGAAAATGGATGGAAATTTTTTTAGAGTCAGTGGTATTGTTTTAATCTATCAGTAACATTATATTTTGTTACCTAATATGAATTCTCCTTATATAGCTTGTAGGGGTCGAACTCGTCATCAACAAAATCAAGTTACAATGAATCATTTTTATCGAGTTGAAATATTTTTTGATGCAATTGGCAAACAACTACAAGAGCTAAATCGTAGATTTAATGATGATTCTTTAGAGCTCTTAGCTTTATCATCATCTTTATTAGAGCCCAAAGATATATGGATTTTAAATTTTTAATCATGATAAGGTTTGCTTGCTTACAAAAAAGTATTCCCCATGAATTTTACGGAGCAAGAAAGGTACAATTTGATGTATCAATAATCGATTGCAACACTTTAATTGTGAATCAAAATATGATCCTAGTTTGAAAATCATTCTACCTCGGAGGAAGTTTGCGAACACTTGGCACAAATAGGAAAATCAAATGTATGTTTTTTGTTTGATAGACTAACTAGGTTATTCCCGTGCGATGCAAGATTAGAATTAATCTTTCTTGTAATTTATGTTTAGTTGCATGACATTGTATATGAATATTAGGATTAGATATAAAAATAATTTACATTTAAGGAAAGTAAAAAAAATTGAAACCAAGATCAAACATCAAACAAATTAGGTATGTGAAACTATAAGTTAGGAGTGAAACTTGGTTAATTGAATTTTATATAGACACTTATGCATTGAAGTCAAAAGTGTAGCCTAAAAATGAAAATAAAAAATCATTAATAATTGATGGCGTCACATAGGAGGAAAAAATTTTAAGGAAAAATTGCTTGAAATAATCCCACCTTTGGGGCCTCCACCCAAAATAATCCCACCTTTGGGATATTTTTATATAATCCGATCTTTATACCCAATCCGCTCAAAATGGTCCAAGTGACCTGTAACCGGTTAAGTAGGTAATTTTTTTTATTAAGTTTAATTTACACGTGTCACCACGTGATTGGTAAAAAAAAATTAAGTTTTAATTTTAATTAATTAATTATTATTTATTTTAATTATTTATTTTAAAACAACCACAACCACCCCCAGTCACCTCCACACCGCCACCATCAGCCCAGACCAGCCAGGGAGTCGCTGCTCCTCCTCCTACCCAGTTCGTTGCCTATAAACCACAAAAATGGTGGTGATGGTGGGGTGAATGTGATGAGCCAAAAATAAAGATAATTGGGTGATGGTGATGGCCCAGATCTGAGATTCGCGTGACAAATATCGTCTTGGAGGCGGTTGGCGGTGGAGGAGAAGTTAAAGGAGAGGAAGAGAAAGAAAATGGGATCGGAGGAGAGGGGGGTTGGTTGTGGTTGTGGGGTCGAGGGAAGAAGAAGAAGATGGGTTGTTGTTGATGTTGTCTTTGAAGGAGGAGACTGGAGAGGCGTTGAAGTCTTGAAGATGGGAGGAAGAAGAAGGAGAAGAGAGAGAGAGGATCAATGAATTGAAGCAACACCATTGTTTATGGCTCTTTGTGGTGGTTGGGTCGAGGCGAGGGGAAGGGAGGGGAGCCGGAAAACGTGGTGGGGGAGGGGGCCAGAAATGAGATGGCGGAAGTGGAGGGTTACCGGCGCATTATCTCCTAACGGTGGCGGCAAGGGCTGGTAGAAGAGGAGGGGCTGGCTGGGTTTTTTTTTAATTAATTTTTTTTACTTTTTTTGCAGTTTTTTTTTTTAATTTTTAAAGGTTTTTTATTTTTGTTAAATATTTTTAATTTAACTTGTTTTTCTATTTTATTTTTTTTGCCAATCACAAGCTGCCACATGTCAGGTAACCTGGTATAACAAGTTACATGACCGGTTGGGACCATTTTGAGCGGATTGGGTATAAAGGTCGGTTTATTTAAAAATATCCCAAAGGTGAGATTATTTTTAGCGGACGCCCCAAAGGTGGGATTATTGCGGGCAATTTTTCCAAATTTTAATGTAAGGATGACACATAAGATAGTTTGAGAGTTGACAATGTTAGTAATGTTTTATTTTAGTAATAGTTAATGGATACGTCTATTTTTGACTCGTTCTGTCTCCACAAAAGGAGCATTTTCAGCAATGAAGATCATGAAAACAAGACTGGGTAACAAGATGAAAGATGAGTTTTTGGCCGATAGTTCAATTATTTCTATTGAAAGGAAGATTTCTAAGTCATTTGATACTAAGTCAATAATTAATGTAATACCCCGTATTTTTATACTTATTTTAATTTAAATCAGTATTTCATAGAGTATTTAAATAATTCAAAATGAATTATTTATGGTATTTTACTAATTTAAAAAGGTTTATTTTAATTAAAGGTCCATTGTTATTTATTTAATAGTTTTGAAATTACTTTATTTTATTAGTTAGAAACTTTGGAGCTTATGATTTTATAAATGGAAGTTTTAATGTCAATGGTATTTTAAAGAAGTCAATGTCTACTTTGAATAGGAGTAGGAATCATTAAGGGTAGAAAAGTAATCGAAGTTAAGGAGGGTTTTGAGAGAGGGTATAAATACCCATCATATGAGCAAATTAAACTTTGCCCAAGGTAAAATCTCTCTCTCTCTCTCTCTCTCTCTCTCTCTCTCTCCTCTCTTATTTTCTTTCTCCTTAATTTTTCCCCCTCCCCTTTATTTTTCTCACTCTCACGCCACACACCACACACGCCACCACGCGTGGCTGGCCACCACCACAGCCACCCACTGGCCGGCCACCGTCACCTGTGAATGCCGGTAGCAGTAGCACCGGCGGGCGTGCGCGCGGCAGCAGCCCTGCCATG